AGCTCAGGCAACCCTGCATAGAAACACTTATGTGAGTAGTAGTACCAGAGTCTAACCACCAAGTGTTTCTAGGTACTGAAGCTAAATTAACTTCAGAACAAACCAAAGTAAGGAACATACCCTTCTTAGCACGCCATGCGTGATATTTGGTACAATCCTTCTTTACGTGTCCAGCCTTATCGTAAAAGAAACAACCCTAGTCATCCTTATGTTGTTTCTTCTGAATTGGACCCTTAGAAGCTTCATTATCATTCTTCTTTTTCTTACCCTTATCCTTAGAGGCATAGACCAAATGAGCACTTTTAGTCTTATCTTGTATCAACCTGTCTTCTTCTTGCACACAGTATGAAATGATCTCATTTAGAGTCCATTTCTCTTTTTGGCAGTTATAACTGACATTAAATTGATTGAATTGTGCAGGAAGAGATAACAAAATCAGATGCACCAGTAACTCGTCACATAGGTCGAGTTTGAGTGACTTAAGTTTTGAAGTAATATGAGACATTTCCATAATGTACTCCCTGATATTTCCTTTGCCTTTATACTTCATCGAAATCAAGCGAGCTAACAGTGTGCTTGTTTCTACCTTATCATTTTTAGCAAAACACTTCTCAATTTCGGCAATGAAATCTTTAGCCTTAGTAATCCATTCGGATTCTATGCCCTGAAGGCTTCCAGAACGCCGCGCTTAATGATCATGAGATTCATGCGATTTGAACGCTCCCATTTCTCATACTCCTTCTTTTCATCAGGAGTGCTATCCGCACTGAGAGGTTGGGGTTGTTTAGTTCTTAATGCAAGGTCTAGATCCATGCAGCCAAGAACAATTAAAATATTCTCTTTCCAAACCTTGAAATTTGTCCCATTAAGCATGAGAATTGAGTTGATGTTAGCAGAAATTGTTGCAGCAGATGCACTAGCTGAAATAAACAAAAGATTTTAACCTTAATTAGTAATCAATAAAATTCAAATAATAAAAATTCCCATATCAAGATATTTGACACAACATTAATATCAAGCCTTTGGACAGTAATATTAATTTGTAAGTGATATCTTATTATAATGATCAAACGCTGACAATAACTCATGTCAAATAATGAAACTATCTTTGGATCGATTCATTATCCACATATAAACCTTATAATTATCACGTGTTTATCATCGCAGATGCGTATGCAATCTAAATAAATATTAACATTCCTTTGGGCTGATTAAATATTTACACGAAAGCATACACACAACTATCTAACATCCCTCATGAACAATCTACATAAGAGAGGTTACTTTGGCAACATCTTGTTTCAATTAATCATTTGGAATGAGAGACAACATTAATACCTTATTGTCATATTATTTGAATTAACTACCAAATGAAAATTCTGAAATTTACTTGAGCAATTAAAATAGATTTCTCTATTTAATTAACCATAGATAGGCCCATTAAAATTTAAATGGCCTATAACTTAATAGATTATTTGAGCAATTCAAATAATCCCCAAGTTTAATCACAGAAGCCCATAAATTAACTTGACACAGGCCCACTAATTAAAAAACCAAAGCTTGAAATTTTATTAAAAAGAAAAACAAGGCCCATAAGTGAAATTATTTGAGAAATTTAAATAATTTATACTTAATTGAAATAGGCTATAAATAAGTTCACAAGCCCAAAAAATCATTGCTGGCCTATTACGAAAAGATCTTAAGGGCCCGTTTGGATAATGTAAGTATTAGAAGTAAGAAGTAGGTTATAGAAGTAACTTTCAAAGCTATGAAGTAGGAAGTAGTGGAAATAGCATTTTTTTTTGTTTGTTTCATATATTTTTAGAAGTAATGAAAGTAGAACTTCTTCCTCTTCATTTACTTTTTTTGTTTGGATAACATTTGAAAATATTATTAGGAAGTAATTTTATCAATGAAAAGTTGTTAGAAGTAACTAATAAAGGAAATATTAATAAAAAAAATTATTTATGTCATAATTAATATGCATTTCAACTACTTCCGAGCTACTTCTGAGTATTGAGGATTGGAAAAATATTTTGGAAGTAATGATGACACGTAGGCGCCACATAAGCATTTAGGGAAGTATTGGAAGTAAGTTTTTCAGAGAACCAAACACACTTTTTTGCTTGGAAGTAGCAGAAGTAGCCTCTACTTCTTTTACTTCAGCTACTTCACAATTACTTCCGTGCAAACAAACAGGCCCTAAGTGGGCGTTGGCTGTCTGAAGAAAAATTTCCATTTCTTCTCAGCCCGTAAGTCAACCATAAGACTCACCCAAAATGAAAGCTCGCCTGTAAGCCAAAAAAATTCACAAATGCCAAAATTTCCCAAATGCAAGCCAAAATCTCGCCTGTAATTTCCAAATCGCGAACCAAGATCCAAGCTCGCCTGAGAGAGCTTCGGACCTCGCCTGAACGGAGCCTAAAGCTCGCCTGATCCGAGACCAAGGGCACGCCTGAATCGAGGGTTCGAAGCTCGCCTGAGGTTTGCGACCGAGACTCGCCTGATCCGAGTGTCAAGCTCGCCTAATTCGAGACTCAACCTCGCCTGAACCGAGCTGAAAAAGCTCGCCTGAAATTGGGGGTTCGAGCTTGCCTAATTTGGGCTCGAGCTCGCCTGAATCGAACTTTGAAGAAGCTCGCCTGAATTGAGTCCTTCGAGCTCGCCTGCAGTCGAACTTGGGCTCACCTAACATCAAGACTCAACCTTGCCAGACTCGAGCGAAAGCTCGCCTGATCGGAGCGTTCGAGGCTCGCATGCAACAGATCGAAGTTCGCCTGAAATTAGGTAAGCTTCTACACGATCTTTCCTTCACCCCTTAGGGTTTCGTTATGAACCATCGCCGCCGCCGCTTAAGCTCCCGCACCCTAGGGTTTTGAAAACCCTAGGCGTCCTGATGCCGCCGCCGCTGTCTTCCTTTGACAGCGGGGCCACCAGCAAACATCGCCGGCGAGGAGCGGAGCGATCGATGACTAAACCAAAATTTCTTTATGTTGCACGCGAGCAGTTGATCAAAGATTTGATCCTGAATCCAAAATTTGTTTTTTTTCTCACAATCTGAATCCAGAGTTTGATCCAGATTCAACAGCCGAAAGAAGAAGAAAGAAAAAAAATCAAAACCAAAGCATGAGCTTTACGGTTCATGTGTGCAAGCTACAGTGCAGCGAACAACAGATCTTAATAATACAAGATTAAGATCAAAAAACCCTAATTTCATAATCTTAAATCCCTAAGAATTAATCAAAGTGGCTCTGATACCACTTGTTGGAGATTATGGACATGATTAATTCATAGAGATTAACATGAGAGCGCGGAAGCAATACCTGAATCCATGACGATTTGAGCACGGATCTGAATTAGGGTTGATCTTCTAATCTAAAAGATTTCTCTTTTAAAAATTCTTTTAAGATGGGGATTAGAGAATAGAGAACATAACCTTTAGATTAGGGACCATAACCCCTTTATATAGATTTACAATTTTTTAATTTAGCACCTCATAAAATTAGAATTGTAGTCTGGTATCTGCACAATTAGCCCATGATTTTACTTAAATACCCATTAACCCAAATTGATTGATCACTATATGCGGATTAACCTTAAGGATAGCATTATACACTCATGTAACATATATGCTCATAATTAGATTTAATCCAACAGATATTGCTATTCATGCTTGACTACATATTACTGCTTGGGATCAGTAGAGTTTGGAATATGACATATAGTATTAATTTACTTATTTTCTTTTACTATTCTACTTGAAGATATTATTATGTCAATTGATATTTTTTCTTAAGAAATCAATTAAGATGTCTCAGTTAAGCTTATAATATCCAAAAATGTTGTGCAATTCTATTTCCAATGCAATAAGAAATGTGATTTCTTTATTGTTATAACTATATTTCATAATGACAATTACGATATCCCAGTTAGGTATATTCTTCCCACTTTAGCTTAAAATCCATAACATTGATTTTTAATAATATTTAAATAAAAATAATATTAAATCTAATAATTCAATTTTACATATTTGACTCAAGATGAATCTGACTTATTTATAGTAATGAAATAAATATAAAAGAAAAATATTTTGATATTTAATCACGTGCACTGTACGTGCAAAAAAAACTAGTAACAATGAAATTAATCACAAGTCATTATTGTAAAAAAGGGGTCTATTTATATACGTTACAAAATAACTTGGGGTCTATTTATATACGTTACAAAATAACTTTAGTTAATATGAAGCAAACAAATACAAATGCTATTATATTGCATGTCAGAAAACACGTAGATGCAGAGAGAGAAAAGAAGTTCGTGAGCTCATATTGGTTAACTAGCATCAAACATGCAAAAGCAACCAATAAGATGATTGTAATTCATACAAAAATATTCAAATCTGTGAAGACCATATTTAGAACCCTATTATTTGAACCTTGAATATTTCTTAGGTAATACAAATATCACTGCTGGAAACATAACTTTTAGCGACGGAAAAATCCGTCGCTAAAAGTAGAAAATCCGTCGCTAAAACCTTTAGCGACGGAAAATATAAAATTCCGTCGCTAAAATATCGTCCGTATAGTGAGGGTAGCGAACATGTGTTTTAGCGACGGATATTCCGTCGCTAAATTTTAGCGACGAAACATTAGCGACGGATAATCCGTCGCTATACTTTATTTAAAAAAATTAAAAAAACTTTAGCGACGGATTTTCCGTAGCTAAAACATGTTTTAGCTACGGAAAATCCGTCGCTAATAACTATTAGCGACGGAAAATCCGTCGCTAATTACTATTTTTGAAAAAATAAAAAAAATAAAAAAAACGAATATTCCGTCGCTATTAACTTTAGCGACGGAAAATCCGTCGTTAATATTATCTATTTTCCGTCGCTAAAAGTGTATTTAGCGACGGATAATCCGTTGCTAAAAGCTTCCAATATTTTTTTAAAAAATAATTTGAAAATTGAAAAAACCTGTACAATAATATAATAAATTTAAAATCCTGTTCAATCAGCAGTATAATATTCATTCTCACGCATATATAACACATAATTTAATTAAAATATCCCAACATAGTAAGCGTTGTTTATACAGTACACACCATGATAAGTATTGTTTATACAACACACTCATTCATTGTTTTCAAAGGTAAAAAAACAAATCAGTCCTCTTGATCATCATCCTCATCACCAGCTCCACCTTGTCTAGAAGTCCCGGCCTGCAATTATAAATCAAACGTTAACAACATGGCATGACATTCAAGTATAGCAATAAGAGAGTATCATGGCATATTCTTATGTATTATACGCACGCACACACAATTTTTACAACAACGCATACACACACCCTAACAACGCATGCACGCATAATTTTTACAACAATACGCGTACACGCACAATTTCTCACCATATGCGCATGTACGCGTACATGCTCATACGTGTACATGCACATACGCGTATACGCACGCACGCACACATACACGCGTGCACGCATGCACGCATGCACCACACTCCACACCCCCCACCCCCCACCCCCTCCCCCTCACCCTACATCACCACCACCACCAAATCCACACTCCTTCCCCTCCCCCACCATGACCAAATCACCCCCCAAGCAATCACATAACCAACCATACGCACGCACGCACCACAACAACACAACCACGACTAACTAACCAATTCACCAACCAATACTATCATCACTACGCATGCACGCACCATCAACACCACCATCACATAAAAATATTATACGCATGCACGCACGCGTGCATGCACGCACGCATGCACACACACATACACGCATGCACCACACTCCACACACCCCACCCCACCCCCTCCCCCTCCATCATCATCATCATCACCACCACCACCACCACCACGACGAAAACACCCACCAACCAACAACATAACCAACGACCCTACACACGAACGCCCCACAACAAAACAAAATAACAACTAACTAACCAACTCACTATCCAATACAACCATCGCTACGCATGCACGCACCATCAACACCACCATCACATAAAAACATTAAGTATATAATTTTAGTTGTGTTTCGGAGAGAGATATAGTTTGTGTGTAACAGTTTGTGTGATATCATTTAGTCACACGGCATACTCGTAACTAAGTAAGAATTTTATATTTAATTCATTTAATTAAAAAAGAAATATACATATATATATATATTACCTGATCCGCCAAAAACCGTCTCCTATATGCCTCCTGAGCATCAGAAGGTAGAGTCGATATAAACTGGGTGAATTCCAGCTCCCTCTGCTCCCGACGCCTCCGTTCTTCCTCCGCCATCTGGAGTAGCTCCGACTCCCGACGCGACTGCCAATCTTCCATCGCTTTCATCCGCTGCTCCATAGTCGGGTCTTGAGAAGAACTGCATCCTGGTGGAGCTGCAGACTCGTAGGTGCTACTGGACTCGTACGGCCGATGCTCGGATCCTCTCCACCTGTATCTGTTCTTCCTACTCGGTCCAATGACCGTCTCGATGATGCTATCCTCCTCCTCTCTACTTAATCGGGTCGGAGTGTTAGAATCGACCTGAGTCTGTGATAATTGCTCCTGCACCTTAGCATGTAATTTCTCCTGCGATATACCAAAACAACCCGGTCAATTCTAACACATTTAAAATGCATTGTTATAAAAATTAAATATACAAATTAACTGCTACTTACAGCCAGATCCCGGTTCTGCGCTTTCTTCACTTCATCGGCGTAATTTGGACTCCAACCAGTCAGAATACGATCTGCAAAATGCCCGAGTTCTCCCCTTCCCTATTTTATTCACATATATCATTAACTCATAACACATAAATTATACTCAAATTGATAACCTAAGAGCTAATATATTATATACCTCAAGCGCCAATTGATGATAATGCTGGCTGAAGGACCTGGAGCCCCCGTGATGCTCGTAACTGCGGGGCGCATTGCGGTTCCTCCTTGCTATTTCAGCTTGTTCCTGCAAAAGAATGTTAAACAGATATAATATAGAATTTCAAACAATAAACAAAGATATATACTTCAATAATACCTGAGCTTCGGCCGTGTCCCAATAATCGCAAAGTGCAAAAAAATCAACTCCATCCACGCGCTCGTCAAGATGCCAGTAACGCTCCCAATCTTCTGTTCTTTGAGTAAAATATTTTTTCTTCAGCTCTGACCGCCACCTCTTGAACGATAGATTGATTTGCGTGAAGCAGTAAGTCCAGGCACAAGCGTAATCGTCAAGAAAGAAAAATCGCTTCAGCATACAATGAAAAAAGAGATACAAATCAGTGTGTTAAACAAAATAATAAAATGACTAATAATTATGAGAATTAAAATAAATGACTCACACATATATATCGCCAACAAGCCACCAGCGCATCAATCCGCTGCGACTTCCACGTCAAATATATGTTGAAGAAATCATGTCTCCTGGCTAAAGAGGCGAGGAAATTGTTAAAAGAGTTAGCAAATGGCCCGACAGGCACGCCGTTCTCCCATCGGATCACGGCCCTCCTGTGTCTTGGTACCACTGCGGCCGCGCCTAGTAGGTCGCTCGGTACCTACGAAAAAATGAAATTCAGGCGAAATATAAATCAATCAATATCGATAATACAAATTAAAATATTAACAGATAAACTATAAAAATCTATACACACCTTTCAATTCGAGGCATCTACGCCTTGCTTGTTCATACCTCTGCTGTGCGATAAGTCGCAAATCATGATAAGCATCCCAATCCTCCTTCACCTTGGCCGGCTCGTGGGCTCGCTGATCCGGAATAGAATCTGGCGGTAGTGGCGCAGCGTCTACAGCTACGCTATATGGCTCAAAACGGTGCTCCTCCAATACATCTGCATGCGGAGGAGGCGACGGCGGCATCTCTGCATGCTGAGCAGGATCAACGAGTGTCTCCGCATCAGGTGTAGCATTTCCTCGTCCTGTGTCCTGTGGCGGCCCGTCATGTGTAGCAGCGATGCGGCCTGCGTAGGAAATGTGAAAAAATAATGTTAGGCTCGTATTAATAGTTTATAGAAATGTACAGATATAATAAATTAATAAAAATACCTGACGTAGAGCCATGTGCGTCGCCTCCAGAATGTCTACCAATAAGTCTCTCAAGCGCTCTCTTACGTAATCCTTTTGTCATCTATACTTTGAAAACATAATGAGTACCCAACAAAACTATAATACATGACAAAAACTGATACATGATAACCAGTCAAACAGATAATATAAAAGTAATACTATAATACATGACACAAACTGATACATGATAACCAGTCAAACTGATACATGCGATTGGACAGTGCAAGGTTTATTTCCCATCCTTGTTTGCTTACCCTTTCCCCTTCCCTTCCAA